TATATATATACAAGCATTATCTTAAATTAATTAAAATATATACATATATATGCTGCTGAATTTAGCATAACTTATATTCTTAAAGTAAGAAATGTATATTACAGTAAGAATATAAGTATAAGCTTGTAAGAATATAAATTATACCTTTATTATATATGTAATAAAAAGATAGAGTAATTGCATTATTTTTAATAATTAAATGATATTTGTACAAATTATATTACCTAATTTTCTAATATCTTGTTCATGATCAATTTTTTTCAATACTTTACTATTTTATCATAAAGATCATACCTCCTTAGCTATTTGATCAAGTGCTTGGTCTTCTGCAGAATGCCGTGTAGCAGTTCGCCTTCGTCCAGCTATAGCTGATTCCATTTTGAATTTCTTTTCTTACAAATTTTGTTTCAATTGTAACGATTTTAACTAAGAAAATCCACATCCAACACACTGACAGGTAAATGATTTGCTAAGAACAAATTTATTTTATACAGATAAATAAGCTAAAAATAAAATTATTAATAGAAAAATTGTGATGAAATTGTGCTAAATTTAATCATGATGTCTTTGACTTGTAATTTTGATTCTATTCATTTGTTTACAATCATTTATTAATTACATTTGATAGCCAATTTTATTCAACAACAGCCACATCTCAATTGAGTGAATTTTGACAGATCAACTTAATTTTAAGAAATAATTAAAATATAATTCAATTTCTATGATGATAAAAACTTATTCAAGTTTAGACATATCAAAATTTTTTTAAATATTTATATATTGGAACAATAAAAGTTTCTCAAAGACTTCTATTGCTGATGGACGAATTTTAATTCCATGTGGAGAGTTAATATGCATATCTTTACATTTTCTTCATATCTTGGCAAATTTTTATTAGACATTCTCTCTCTCTCTCTCTTTCCCTTCCCTCCCCCTCCCCCATAATGAAACATATTAACTATTGATAATTTAATTTGTTTTAGTTGATAATTTTTGTAATTGATTTCCTCCAGTATTTTCTTCAAACTGCATTTTATACCATATAATTATACCTTACAGTCAATAGTTGCTTTCCACCTGCACACAAGTGAAACAGTCTGAAGTGAACTGAATATTTCATACTCAGATTAATGACGTCATTATTTGCTTAGTTTGGTAAATAGTTATCACATGACACAGATTTAAACCTGACTTTTAAAGTGAAGACACAAGACACATTAAAGCACACAATCTTGTACAGATTATAGGCAAAAACTCAATTAAATCACTTGTCAGAATATAAAAGGAATGCGCATTCATCTAAGTTGATGTCACAAGCGAGAATTATCTGAGAATCGGTGTAAATGGAAAGCAACTAATATATAGTATTTGAAGGACAGAAACTCAATAACAATAATAGCTATGTTCCAAAATTTACCGCCAGTACTGAAAATCTATAAAACGTGTGATATAAACTATAGATTTTCAATATTGGCAGTAAATTTTTTTTTTGGAACACAACCACTATATGATCCCCCTTCTCTCTCTCTCCTTCTCTCTCTCACTCTCTCTCTCTCTCTCTCTCTCTCTCTCTCTATTGTAGATAGAACTTTTTTAACTTGACTACATTTACATTACAATGTATGTATAATGCAACATAGCTATTATGAAACTCATTGAAACTACATAAAAGAATGAGGTAAGCAGCATATAAAAATCTTTTATGATATCATGTACTGCAAATATCATAAACACACACACACACACACACACACACACACACACACTCGCGCGCGCGCGCATGCACACACACACCACGCGCGCGCGCGCACGCATATACACGGGTTTCATTATGATTCACATTCCACCATTCTGTTGCTCATTCATGCAGGATTTACAGATGAACACTTACGATTAGGACATGTCATTCGGTGAATAGACAAATATTTTTCTTAAACTGAGTCACATGCAAAGTTAGGCACTATAAATAAAATCAGCGAAAATCGAATAATTGATCATTACGATGTCGATACAAAATTATTGGAGGAATCTGTCTTGGATGGTATCGAGTCTACTTTCCCGAGTAAATTTCAGATCCGCAAAGGCACGTCACAGTATCATGAGTCTACTTCAATCTACAATCGACGATTACAAGCATTACAGGCATATTAGAGGATTTCAATTTCTAGATCATGTAGAATCGTTCGAGATTCCGGCGGTTCACTCAGGCGTAAGACTCGGCAAACACAGTGTGCAACATCGCACTCCAGCTTAGCGAAAGATACATTTTTTCGATTATTCTCGTACTCCACTTTGGACTACTCTGCATTACAAGGACAACAATGTATGTACGCGAAACAGTCAAAGGCAACTACGCGAAAATCTGAGAAGTACCAAGAAGCTGAAGAAGTATAGTGCGCCGCGCCGAACCGGCCGAATCCTGAACCAACAATTCGGCTCATGGGAGTCATGCGTTCTACTAGAGAGAAACCTAAGAGAGGCTACATCTGCCTTTTTCCTGTTACCGTCGAAATCGCTCGTACACTAACGCCAATATATCCATTTTCAGTTTGGGAACTACGTGACTACATACATTTTCTAACACTATTGATAAAATCGTATCGTCGAAAGTAGATGTGGTTCGTCTCTGTACTAAATCCTCAGGAGGCTTATTACGATTCTTGAGAAACGGGTATCAATTCTCTAATCATCATGATAAAATTGCGAACAATCTCACAGGAGTTCGTTCGAAAGAAATTTCTTGTGAAATTGATCATGAATTTATTACTCTTGGATTGAAAACTGTTTAGTAAAAAATTCATTATTAAATCATATTTGTAGTCATCGTAAAAAAAGATTTTAGAATTTGAATATTTTCAAATTTCATTGAGATGAATCTTTAAACATTGTTGGTTTTATTATTTTATTATTTATTATTTAATAAATAAATATTTGGCAATAAATTCTTTATGTAGTGATAGAGTAAGGTCATATTAATAACAAAATACGGAATATGTTAAATTGCTTAATTAGAAGTTAGATTTGAGGAACGCAAAACCGTAAAGTGTGAAAATCGTGTGTAATACGAGATATCCAAGGTATTTCTAAGGCTGCGTTCAGATTCCCCACCCGAGTGCACCCAGAAAGTGTTTAGATTCCTTTTGCCTTTATTGAGCGCTTAGGTGGAATGTTAAGATTCCTACTCTATCCACCCGGGAGGATGGAAAAACCATCCGATTCCTTGAGCTGGATGGAATGGGTAGTAGTGACGCATTAAAGACCTGTCCCTGCATGTTTGACATGCATCAAATACGAAAATTTAAATTTCAGATTATACTTATGTGTTATAAACAATATAAATCATAACTTAAAGGAGGCAAAGTATTAAATCATCTGTTTTACAGGTAGGAACTTAGATATTGATAAGATATTTCTTATATTTTATATCTTTTATCATTATTATATATATTTACGTTATTATTTGCTGTAACCGATGCATGTAAGACATTCTCTTATTTTAGCCATTTAATAAATGCGTTTTTGATATAAATATAAAAATATATATACAGAGGGTACCAGAATTAGCGCAGAGGTCGGCACATATTCCTCATGAAAAAGTAAATAGCATCGAAAATATTAATAGCAAAATCTTAAAGCATCAATAGTTTTCAAACGGTGAGCATTTGAAAATAATCAATCACAGGACATGAAATTCGCGCCGTCAAAAGCGGCGCAATTAAGCGGTAGATCGTACGAACGATATATCGCTCAACGCTTTGACATATCGCTCAACGGTGCCGAACGAGTATTACAAAGTGAAATTTCTATATTAACTACTGTATTTTTAAATTGAGTCCGATTCAATTGATGAGAAATAATGTCAATTGCAAATCGATAATCAATAAATAAATAAATTTATAAATAAAATCAATATTAATTAAATGATCCAAATAATGTTAAAAACATCAATTGACAGATATTTGCAAAACTTCTTTTTTGCACAAGAGATATTAGAAAAAGAATTTACATTTGAAATACGCATTTGATATAAATAAATATTTCATATTTAGAAACTGAAATTTCGAATTATAGGAGAGAAAGGGGAAATAATATAGTGAAGAAATCGAAGTTAGCAAGTATAATAATAAGCTGTAAATATCTGTTAATTGATGTTGTTAACGTTATTTGTTTAGATAATAATTCATTTAATTAATATTGGTTTTATTTATAAATTTATTTATTTATCGAATTTGCAATTGACATTCTTCTTATCAATTAAATTGGACTCAATTTAAGAATAGGCAGTAGAATAGTTAATATAGAAATTTCACAAAATTTTGTAATACTTGTTCGGCACCGTTGAGCGATACGTCCGTCAAAGCGCGGCCGACCGCTCTGTGGTTGGTTATTTTCAAATGCTCACCGTTTGAAAACTATTGATTATATTGCCTTAAGATTTTGCTATTAACATTTTCGATTTATTTTTTCATGAGGAATGTGCCGGCCCCTACGTTAACTCTGGTACAGTTCCTATATAACAATATATATAATATTGTATAACAATATAATATAATATTAATAAAATAAAATAAAATAAATAAAATAAACA